GGTGCAAAAAAAACAAGGAGTGGAATTCTTATTCATACCACAAGAGAAGCCACACAAGAAAGTTGCTCAAAGTTTTATAAACACTCTTCCCGGTAACTTGTCTCCTCCACAGCGGCACCTCGAAACTGATAAGGATAGACAGAAAATGGGATTCTTATCCGCGGGGGTGAGAAAAAACGGCGCACCAGGAAAAATCCCGCATTAGGAGACGTGTTGGGCCTACGAATTTGTTTTTAATCAGTTGTGTGGTGGAAATGAAGAGCTCCTCGTGATTAACATGGCAAAAGTTCCAGTCAAGAAGCACATTGGGAAAGATTATCTCATGGGCTCAAAGCCTGGGTTCATCATGAGTCAATGAGTGAATTTCCTCACGCTGCCACTTCTTGATAATTTCAATCAATAATTGGCCTGCCACCCACCTTGATTTTTATCACCTTCACGTGGCATTAAATCGTGTCACTGGCGTCACGATTGAGGGTCTTTCTCGGTCTTCAGGTGGAAAAGTTTCCCAGGCATAACTTTAATGCAACACATTTCGATGTTATCAAGCACTCTCTTATCGATTGAATATGCTTTTGAGAAAATCCCTCTTAGACTTTCCACCAAAAGCTCTCTCTTTCTCCACTTCGTATTATGTATACAATCTAGAGAGGAAAGTGAGATGAAATTTTTGTGAATAGCAAGGCAATTTTCACTTTGTGCAATAAAGGAAAAATATTTACTTTATTGCCCAATTCTTTCGCATTTTATTAGTGTTTATCAAAATATTGGGGTGAAATGTGTGTCAATAAATTTTCTTCACGCAGAGCGTGAGACAGAGAGAGAGAGAGGATGGAATGCATGGACAGGCGAAATTCCCATGAAAATTCCAGTCACGTTTGTGTGACACGATGAAAAACATGTCCATTTACCTGGACATGAAAGCAACCCACCTTGTTTGCCACCCCGCTGAAGATAAAATTATAAGTTTCACAGCGGGAAAGAATGTATTTAAAGCGCTGGGAAAAAAGAGGTGGTCTAATGGCAAAACTTGCCGGAGGTTCTTTGGAAATGCACACATTTTCAAGGAGAGAAAGAAAAGGCGAAGTCAATTGGAGAAAATTGATTCCAATTGTGGCCTTTCGCGTTGATTCCCTTGTTATCACCTCCCAGAAGTCTCTTTTCCAGCTAATCAATATGCCCAGAAATTTCAACAAAGTCCCTGCCTGGGGTAATTTATTAGGGGTGGCGCATTTCTTCTAACCCCTGGAAAATTAAATGAAGCTTGGCAGGGAGTTTGTGGCTTCCTAATTATTCCGATCAGATACTGTGCCTCTCCGCGTGTCGCCTTCCGGATTCATTTGTCGATTGTCTGCCAGAAAAAATCGTTAAGTGTGCTTTTTGCCCTCGGAGGCAAACTTTCGAGACACTGTGTCACCATTTCGGCCTGATGACTATCTTAAGTGGAAATTTAAAAGATTTTCCCCACTAAATTCGCTTTGGCGCGCGCTTCAATGCAAATTTTTTAGGTATTTTCGCTAAACTATTTCGACGCGTTTTCCTGGCAAACATTGACGGTGAAATTGATGATTGGCTATGTACAAACATAGCAATGACTGACCTCAAATAAACTCAATTGGCCTTCTACTTTTAATTAAATTCAATTAGATCCTATTATATTTTATCATTGTGCGCTGGGTAAAACCCTCCCCGAAATTGAAAGCTTTCACATAGCAGATGGTGGAGAATCCCCGAAATTGGATTCTTTGTGAATTTGCCAAATTAATTGATTCCCATTGAAATTCTGTGCCCGGAAGATTTCGCCACCGAATGGAAAACGTCAAGAACAATTAAATTCAAAGTGTTGTTCACCCCAAATTTTCTTCCTCTTCTTTGGTGTGTTTGTTGTACAACGCAAAATTGGCCCATATTTTTACAGAAATTTGTGATGTTTTCTTTGCCCTGCAAAACTTATGCTGAGGCTCTTTTGTATTTTTATGTTCCAGGGGCATTTTTATCCGCTCAATTTCCCTTCGCTCATGCCAGTGAATTCCACTTCGATCACGCACGAATTGCCACGAATATTCCAGCTGAATTTATGGAGCAAGTGAATGTGATTTGACTGCTAGTCGCAAACATTTGTCTAATAGAGATGAATCAACTCGTCCATCAGTAATTGAATGCTCCAGTTTTGGCGCAAAGTGGCTCCGAAAGCTGCGGAGGTTCAATAAACCATGAAATATTGGGCAACGCGCCGGAGGGGGTGAGTTGCCAACCTCCTTTTCTCGCGAAGTACCAAAAAGTTTCATACTCCCCCAGAAGTGTTTTAATTAGAGAAAAGACAAAGAGGAATATAATTGATGGAAGTTTGGTGAGAGTTGGAAGCTCAACAGCCACACATTTCTTCCCTTCTTGGCTTAATCAAGCCTGCAGAATTTTCCCTCCGTGAAATATTGATGACACTGAATACATTACAAATGGCATTTTTCTCTCTCTCTCTCTCCTCTTGTATAATCACAGTGGGATGGAACACACCGCCTCGAAATTTGCAATTCAAGCAAGAATTTAAGCGATATTCTCTTGGCACAGCCAGCGAGTGTAGTAATCATGGTCTTTAGCGTGCTTTTCGGTCACTTAATGAGATAATTATTGCGCACAAGAAACTTTATCTCGGTCTGGGCGATATTCAATGGAGAGGAGAAAAAGCTCTCCTGAAAGGATTTTCGTGAATTCAAACTGAGCAGCAGGGAAGTTTTTGAAACAAACTGATGAAAAGTAGAAAGTAAATACTTTGAATGTGTTGAGAAAGCTTTTTCGTGATTCTGATGAGGGGAAAACATTAAAATTTGTATAGCGAATTTGCATCTCTGAGAACTCATTCGCATGAGAAGATGTTATCTCGATTATTTATCTGAAGTGTAAACAAATCTGACCATCTCGCTGAGTCAATACTGAAGAGAATATGGCGAGAATTATTTAAACTTGAGGTTTTGATAAAGTGCTGAACCAACAATGAAATTCTCTCGCCTGGGATGTTTAATAAGAAAATTCCGGTAAAACCATTCCTAATTCACTCCCCGTCTCAATATAGACTTTGCGATTTGAATTGTGAGCCCACAAAGTCAAGAATCTAAGATATTTTGTTCATGAAGGATATTGCAGGAAGTCAGCTCTTCATGCGGATGAAGATACAAGGGAGAAAATTGTCAAGAGTTCTTGTGTATCTTTTCTCCCTTGCCATCTGACAAAAGCTCCGCACATTGAATGGCGTGGGAGGAAAAAGCTTTGCCTCAAAAACTTCCACACTCACTCTCTCACACATTTTCCTTGATGAAAAATTACCATTGAGCCATTCTTTCTCCAACTTTTCCTACCGCTGGCTTTCATTTACTGGAAGCCGCACACTCTGTGTGTTTCTCTACATAAATCTATTTCATCCCCCCAAAAAAGGGCCGCGCGCTCTCAGCCGGCAAAATTGTCTCTGGCTCTCTCGTTGGCGACTTAATGAGACCGGGCGGCATGAGGTAGTTTCGCAATTGTAATTAATTCAATTAAAATTATGATTGAAAATGGGAGCTGTGCGCTCAGAGCACTTCCGCTGGTCGCAAGAACATTATAGAGCATGTTAATAGAGTCCAAAACCCAGTCCAACCTCAGCGTCCGGACACTCGGAATTCATCTGTCGGAGGCGGGAAAAGGGTTTGCCGAGAGATTCCACTGCCGTCATTTCACCACTCGCGGCCATGCGAGAGGATATTTTCATTTACTCGCCCCATATAATTACATTTTGATGCTGTTCTCGAATTACACTCCATATTACACCCTCCATGAGAACACGTATGGCGTGTGTTTGCCCTGAAATTACGCCGGGGCGTGAATGTTCCATCATTATGAACTTTTTACCGTGTGTGTGCAGTCAGTTTCATCTCTCTCAACCACTCATCAACTGAGTGGCGGAGTACATTTTTGGCAATGAGTCGAGTGACGAGATTCCCAGAATATCTGGGGTGTTTTGTGGAATGAGCTTTAGCACTATTATGCGCTGTCCAGCGTTGGGAATTCTATACAAATCAATTTCAATTTAGTGTGACAGGCAGATTTGAACCATCATCATGAGCTTTTCACATACTATTCTGCATTTTTGCAGCAAGCAAATGCAATGAGATGAAACTTAATCTACATAGTTGTCAACAATGAAGTGAAGCATGTGAGCTTTTAACGTTTTTTTTTTTCGTTGTAAAACTGTAGAGCAAAGTTTATATTCACTATAAACAGAAGCAAAATAGTTTAAAGGCGAGTATTTATTCAATTGTCAACCACCGTAAATGCAAAGGTGACACAAAAATAGAACCAACATGACAGAAATCACATCTGAAAGTTAATCTGATCAAATTTTAATATATTATTGAACCCACCGAAAGCCATAATGTCTTTTGTAATAAAAAAGCGTCATTAATATCTGATGAATGTTAATGTCTTTACTCTCTCTCTTGTGAGTGGATCGAAAAAAGCCTCTTCTCGTCGTTTCAGTGCATTTACCCTTATGAATAATACAAAGACTAAAGGGAGATTATTCTTCTTAGACAAGCATCACACAAACCCCTTTTGCAAGTTTGCTAGGCTGCGCATTAGGCGGCGTGAATTATTCAGTGGACATTGAAAAATTTCCACCAAATCGCGAATTGATTGACCCTGAGGCGAAGGGCGAGCATCCACGAGACATTCACCCTTGTCGTGGGAGATGGATTACACCAATTTTCCGTGTGGTATCCGTTTGGAGAGCTATAAAAGCCGGCGAGGCTTCCCAGAAATGAAATTTCGAGATAAGGAGGTTCAGTGAGAGATTTATTGCTGACAAACCGAAGAGTGACTGAGAGCCAGTATGCAATTCTCCAGTGTGTTTCATAAGGAAACACACTGGAGTTTCTCGAAGTGATATTTATTAAGAGGACCCGAGTGAGCTTCTGGTGAAGCACGAGGTGGTGATTTTTCTTCAATTTGCCACCCACGGATTTGCATACCTGAGTTGAATGCCAGGAGCAGCAGCCCAAGAACACATGGCGCCATCGCGGGCGCCACACCGTTCGCCATCGATGAGGACTCTGGGCGGTGTTGGAGCGTGAGGAAGAGAGCTTCAGCAGGACTCGAGTGCTCCGAACTGAGTGCAAATGGATTTCACCGTACAATACATTTTCCGGTCACTTATTTTCATATTTTATCCAGCAGACTCGCAACTTTCAGCCAAATCACAGCACATCATCACGCGGTATCGATTTTATCACCTCATCTCATACCTGAGCGCGTCTCACTTCAGCTCATATTTAAATTCTTGAGAGCACTTTCCGTGTTCACTCGTTTTGTTCTTCTTCTTCGCGGCACTTCTTGGCGGATGGCGAAACTTCTGCAGCTTTGGCCTCCTGGGCGTGTCAGAGCGCGCGCTTCTTTTCGTCAGTTCGTGAGATGGCAAAAGTTACCACTCGTTCGCAATTGTGATGAATTTCCTGCAATTGAGCAAAGTGTACAATTTTAATGAGGTGGAGAGAGAGTGAGCAGAAAGGAAAGAGGAAAAGTTGAGGGATGACGCGAAACAAGGGAGTCATTCTGGAGAGATTATTTTCCCCCCTCGACGCAGAATGAGAAAAATGATTCAATTTTTTAGATGAAAATCGCCCTTCCGGAGGCGCAACAGTGGCAAAATGACTGCAACAGTCGGTCTTTCGTCATTATTTGCATCACTTGATCGCCCTTCGCCGGAAAACTCCACTCATTACTCACAGGGCTTTTCCTGCCGCTCGCCCAGAATTGTGCTGACGAAAAGTCTGACTGTTCGTCTTCTATGAAATGCGATCATTACGATGAGAGCGGAGGAAGTATTCATTGTGCCGAGGGACAATTTTAATTTTGACAATGCGCCCAGTCTCGCACAAAATATGCTCCAATCTCGCCATTAATCTCCAACTGTTAGGCCAGAGAGAGAGAGAGAGAGAGAGAGAGAGAGAGCAAGAGATTGTCGCTTGGGAACTGCCAGAAAAGCTCCGGCAAGAAGCTCCGGGCGGAAGCGGAAAAAGTTCCTCACGGCGCGCACGGAGCAAAGTTGTGCAGATGGTGAACCACGGGCGAGATTCGTCGACAGAAGCAATTACTCACACGCGAATATTATTTATGTTGATCTTAAGACACCCACAGAGTTGACATTCTCACCCGCGCGCGGCCTTTTTCTGTGTTTGCTAGTAAGATGGGTGCCACAATTTAATTTCGCCACAAAGGAGTCAACAACACCTGCGCACCAGTCACAATAACAGCGTTGATTGTGCATTAACATAATCAACTTGGAAGTACTTCACATCGCCCGGGAAGAAGACTGTCTGCGGAGATAAAGTTTCCGCCCACGGAACATTGTCAGCCCAAGAAACATCTCCACCACACAGTGTTACTTTTCATTTTTTCGCCAATTTTCTTAGCTTTTATGGGCCATTCGGAGCATTTTCGACAGAATTTACACGAATGCCTCACCTTCTCAGGCATTGTTTGCCCGCCAAGTGGGCGGTTTTTGGGGTGTTGGAACTTGTGGCAATTTGGGTTCTTTTGTCACTAGATTGTTCGCATTCTTACATGCTTTTCACACCATTAAACGACACTCTAGGGAATTGCAACTTTTCAGTTACATCATCAGAGCATTTTCACGTGTGACACAGGTTTGTGGGTGGTTTTTGGGGTGGGCATGAAAAGCCTCAAGTGATCGATCAATGTGATTTCTTATTCGCACAAGTAAACTTTGCATATATAGATTCATACACAATCACGAATGTGTACGCTAAAGTCTAAAAGCTTCTGATGATGAAAGGTATTTATAATTTAGCTTAACAAGGAGTTATAAATGTCATGTAGAAGCTTTTAAATCCTGTAAAATGACAAAATTTCTACTCGAATTCCGCAAATATTTTGCCTCGCAGTGGAAAGTTGTTGGAAAAAAGATAAATTTAAAGGCTTAACCTACAGTGAATTGCAGTACGCGAAAGCTTTTCACAAGAGCCAGGCGAGAGACTGCAAAAAAGCAATACAGCAAGATTAAATGTTTGCAGTTGTTTGTTGTTCGCTTTTTTTCGCGACACACAAAAAAGTCCCCCCCCCCCACCAGAGAAAAGAGTGTACAAAATAGATTTTCACTAAGATTAAAAATAATTTTTCACCCGGACGAAAAAACACCCAAAACTATGGTGCTTTTGTAGCATATTTTGCCACCGCTGGAATGCAAGTTTGCGCTGATGTGAGGGGAAAAAAGCACAGGAAAGGCAAACATGAGATCAATTTTTAGCGGGAAGGGCGGGAAAATCCTCGAACGCACACGTGACAAATCAATAATTGAAGCGTGAAAAGAGTGGCTCTGAAGCAGTCATGTGAAAAGTGTGCATTCAATATATCACTCACAGGCGCTCATGAGTGTCGAAGGAGTGCCTTTCATGCATATGCAGCAGCGCTCACTTGCTGCAAATTCACATCGCATTGACCCCCAAGTGTGGGTGGCCCGGGCGCCCCCGCCGCCCGAGAGTGGGCGATGGGATTGAGTGATATTGAGAGATATGTGCATGTGTGGCTTCTGGGGCCTGAGTTTTGGGCGAGAGACGAGAGGCACAGAAAAAGCCCTCAGCCATAAATTATATGAATTGATGCCAGGGCGGAAAATGCTGCAGAAAGAGGAAATGAGGCTCTAAAATTTTTCCTCTTTATCTCACTTTATGCAGAGAAAGTCATCTCTGGCCTCGCATGGCCCCAATCTTTCTCTCTCCCCCCAGAGAGAGAGGGAGAGATAGGCAATGGGGATGAAAGCACAAGTACAGTGATCACAATTTATTTCGGCTTCCTGGGACCAGCGAACAGTGTCTTGAAGGATTTTGGGGTGGAGATAAAAAGTCCTGAAAAATGAGGGAGGAAAGTCGAAGGCAAGAGATGGAAAACTAGATGATCCAAAGATGAATTATGGGAATTGGAGATGCACAAGCTGAATCATGTTGCTGAGAAAGGGACTTTTCGACTCAAGGGGCATGTTATCTGTCCGGCGGAAGGACATGAGCAAGGATAGCAGGTTGTGTTCTCCCTTTATGTGGCAATGATTGCATTTATTTATAATGAACTGTGGAAACATGAGAAATATCTACGAAAAGCCAATCAAAAATAGATGAAGATGTTATCTAGCAAAATGACAAATTCTAGGTAGTCGTAGGTTAGTTTTTCCTCTTTCCAAAACGTCCTTTTTCTTAAAATACGCCGAAAAATGTGGACAGTGTGAATATTTTGATGCAAATTTTATAAACAGAATTTTCTTCTAAGAAAGTGCTCATAAACACCATCTTTTGACCATTTATCAAACTTGAGATGTTCTAAAAAGTTGTAGGCTGTGAAATTACCTTTCTAAAACCGTGCCAGTGTTGGGAATCAGAGAAGAGCTTTAGAAGATATGTACAGAAAAGCTTGAGTATGCTTTAATTATACGGATTCGCAAATATCGCTTAAGAAATGCATTTTTTACTGTGTGAAAAATGTTGTAAAAGTTAAATTGTTAACAATCCGACCAACACTGGATAGCTTGCTGGATAGCAAGATTGAACGATTTCAGTTATGCAAACTTTTCAGAGCAAAAACACACAAATTAAGGCATTATTTTCAGCCGGAACACTTCAAAAACACCATCAATTGACCCACTTTCATCAACAGGCTCTCTTCCATTGGAATAACAATCCCGTGATGTTTTTTCTCTGCCCAGGCAAATCTTGCAAGTTCAACAAAATTCTTTCACTGGGCGCCCGTGCATGTCCGCAGAGTTCAAATTTTCACATTTTAAATGAGTGTCAGCTAATCGTGAAGCATCCCGAGCGCCCCTGAGGCATCCACAAACTGTTGCAGAAGCCGAATGGCCATTCTTGCGAGAGTTGCTAAGCAAACTTTCGTAACACTCGTAAGGCGAAATAAGATTATTGGGCAACTTTGCTTTGTCAAAACTTTGTCGCTCATATCTCCATTCTATCTGTCTCTCTCTCGTCTTCTAATACATCAAAATCCTCCCAGAGAATCCGGCATTGGCCTGTGGATGAGCCCTGGGAAAACTATTTACGACGCTCCGTGAGATTTTCATGGAGAATGCGTCGTTTGTTCGTGTCTATAAAAATTTTTCTCATATTTTTTTCACTCTCCGCCCATCGGCTTTTGTCCCTCAACTGTGACAGCGCCGAGATAAGATTGATGTTAAGTATTTAGGGATGTTTTTCTTCCACCCAGTGTCAACACAGTGGTTTTCGGTGATGATTTCCTCATGCTTTCGCCCTTTTTGGGGGAGAGTGGGGGTGGGCCAAAAGCTCGCCTTTTGTGCCTTAATTCCAAATCTCTGGGGGTGAATTTCCACCAATTTCACATCACAACTTTCCAGTCAAATCTCGACAATTCACTACGCCAGGATATTATTAAATATATATAGCAACAAAAGCTCCTCGGCTCAACACAGAGAGAGGCTTTGGAGAGGGATTACGACTAGCTTCTGTGCGTTTGTGTACACATATAATTTTTGTGCGATATAGAGAAAAGCTCGGCGTCTTTATGTCATATCCATAATGAATTGTGTGGCTCGGCAATTAATTCATCCATTTGCATGGTGAAATAATATTTTCTCGACAAACATCCACTAATTGTCCAGGAGGAATTCGAGATGACTAATGAGTTGTTGTAACTTTTCTCGACATTTTCTCTCAATTTTATTCTCAATACATAGTAGAATAATAATTACGCCAATTCCACTTTGATTTACGACCTCATCTTAATTCATTATTCAACAGTGTATTTTCGAGAAAGTTCTTGGGCTTTGAATAGGAAGAATTTCAGTGAATTCAGCAGGAAAAATCAAATTCAAGTGCATAATTGCTTAGCAATGAATTTTTCTGTCAGCTAATTTATTAAAAGCTCTCATGAATTTTTTCTGTGTGCTAAAGCCAAAAGCGGCGAAATGCTAAATGAACGACTCTAATAAATATTTGCCCCAGAATTTTGCACTGTTTTTTTTTTCAAAGTGATAAATTTTACAGTATAATTAAAATGCAAAGTGTTCATAAAATTTTCATGCTCCCAATGGAATTTCAAGTCGTATTTTTCACCCAAAACACAAACGAGCTAATCTTTCAGGTGACAGCATTTTAACAACTTTGTGGTTTTAAATTTCACAACTTTGTCAACCTTTTTTGCAAAAATATCGAATGATGTCAAAGCTATTGAGGACTTTATAAACAAAGTTTAGAGCAGAGTATTTTACATGTTGTGAGCAAAATATCCGGGGAAAAGACTCTTAAATTTCACTGGAGAACTACCTTGGAAAATTTCACCACATTTGTATGAATGTTACACAGCAGAAGACTTTGTCTGTAGCGGAAATACATTGCGAGAAAAGCTCCGGCAAAGTTGCTCAGTTTACGGCAAAATATACAAATATATCAGAATTTTATTACAAATCTATGTTGGTTTATCTGTCGCAGTTTCCCTCAAACTTTAAAGCTTTCGCAAAAGCCATTGGATTTCATAATTTTCTCTCGCTCTCTTCTCAATCTCTTATATTTATATATTGGAAATTGCAAGAATTGGCCTCGACATTCGGAGAGTGCGGAGAAAAAAGAAAAGATACATAATCAGGTTTGTTCTTATTCCATTTCACAAGGAGGCTTTATGCTAATTTCCCATCACCCACTCGTCCTTCGGCGCTCCTTCGACATTCAGCTTTTTCTTATGCGCGCAAGAATCCACAGAAGAAAAACATTCATGTGGCGGTTCTCCCTGAGATTGTTGCTGAAGAAGTGAGTGAAAATATTGTTTCACAATTTTGCATTACAATGGATATTTCGCTCTACCAGGCAGCTTGATTTATTTTCACTTGCGCGAATTCTTCTCTCTTTGCGTGCCATGGAAAATTCACTTTGCCACCCCGACCCCCCAATTTCCTCTTTGCGGGGCTTTTTTTCTCCCAAAGTATGTGTTTGTGCGGGGGAATGAAAATGCCCCGAAGGAGGAAATGCTCACCATTGCGTCACTTTGTGAGCTTTGGACGCGCTATGCTGCACAGTAATCCAACTGGGGAGTTGTAAAAGAATTTTTAACATCTTTTTATGAGTGACACGCTCGCCATTTGCGCGTGTTTCGAATGGGGTGGGGGAAGAGGAATTCTTGGGCTTTTTGTCCTGGTGCTTTTGACACTGGAAGAACATCAAGAGCCGCAGGCGAAGCAAGGGAGGAATGAAGGATTTGTCCTGCGTTCCACAAATGAAAGAATGCCAAAAAGGTTGGAATCTGTCTTCAGCTAAATTCACAGCTTCAAAATTTAACTCCAAGAAGTGTTTATTTTGAGATTGTCCGTAATAAGAGAGTCACGAGGTGAATAAAATTGATTTCATACGTTCAACTTTGATCATATTGAAACGGATTCTAGGAAAAGCTCAACAGATTTCCTGTATTTCCTCCTCTCTCGTGCTCATATCAATTTAATTGGATATAATTTAACTTGTCATGAATCCGCAAAGACGCAACGTTAATCTTATCAAACTTCATTACGCCACATCATGCGTGACATTCCAACAGATATTTTGCGAATAATACAGCAAATAATTCATTAAAATCAATAACACAAAAGCCATTGAATGAGAAATGTCATATCGCTGCAGGAATAATGACTCTTATTCAGTGTCACATCACTGACTCTCAAAAGGTGACATGAAAGCGAGATATCCCGGACACAAGATCATTATTCTCTGGGTGTCTCATTGAAGCCAACAGGAGTCTTGAGACACACAAATTCCCGCTAACAATCTTCCATTATGCTCACGAAATTGCGAAAACTTCACGCGGAGCTTTTCTTTTCCCTCTTGCATAGAATGCAATATCGTGATTTCCGGGGGTGGAATTTGACCCAAAAAAAGGAACTTTCAAGCATCGCCACACAAAACACTTGTGACGGTGAAAAATACGAGTAGAGAGATCTTCCATCTCAATGTGAAGGATATTTGTCTCTCAAATTGGCAAAATTTGTCAATGTGGTGCCGGTAATTGTTGCCTAAATCTCCTTTAGCGCACATTGCGACGCGCGTGAGGAAAATTGCGATATATTTCTCATGCGTCACACGCGCGCGGTGGAGGATTAATCGTGGACAATTGTGAGACGAAAGAGCGTATTGCAGTCATTGTTGTCGGATGATCTGCTCGGGTTTCATTCACAGGGCATAATGTTAATTAAATTTCCTTGTAAATTACCCAGAAATAATGTCCTTAATGCCTTTTTATTTCCACAATCTCAATTGAGCGCATGGTTCTCAGCACTTTCGCCGGGTTGAGCTCTTTGTCACACACAACACATCCAGCCAAAGAGTCACAAAGGGTGGCTTCCCTATTCACTTCTTCATCAATGGTGAGAATGTGGCACAATTTTTAATTGCCCAGCAAATGACAGCACAAGTTATGGTGATTTGCATGCAAAATGCGACTACTTTCATTTGCACAGTGGAGAAACAAACATTTACTCAACCGTCACAGCACTCGAATGCACTCAATCACCAGGGTGAGGAGGAGCCTTCGAGGGGTTTGTGGCCCCCCGCGGGTGGTTCCTTGGCACTGGAGTTCCCTCACAATCTGGCTCAGCGGAAGCGTGAGATCGCGCGATGGTGTTTCAACCCTTTTGGCGACACGCGAGTGACTTCAATCGCTGTCGGATGGCAACTAAACGAGGACATACCGATGGCGTCACGACGCGCCCCTTGCGTACCGGTTCACCAGAGTCATCATCATCATCGTCATTGAGACTCCAGCGAGAGGGAAACAACCACCCGGCACACGGCGGCGCATGCTCCTGGCCAGCACCTCCCCGCTTTCCCGATACAAACGCACTTCCCCAGCCTTAATTTTGAACTTTCAACGCAGATCCTTGACTCAGGTCATGGCTTGAAAAATTGCACACGTACAGAGCCTCCGCTGGACCATTGATCATGGACGCGCACAGCAAGATTTCCCACTCATGGACACCACAAGACATTTCCTGCATCCATTGGCATTGTTTCCTCCTCCAGAATACCAATGCACAGACTGGTGGACGAGCAGAGCAGAAAGCCATATATTTCCGGGTGGGAATGAAATGGGCAAAGGAGTGATAGATCATGAGATTCCGGTAATGTGGAGTTATATATGAGTCTTTGGGGCTTTTTGCCCAGGGAGCGCAGCTGAAGGAGTCAATTTTGTTGATTTAGCACTTGCCTTATTAGCAGCTATTTTTAGCCACTCGCAAACTTCGGACAGCACGTGTTTATATCTGACAAGGGGGAAATATTGGCACTTTTCCCAGAGATTTCCTTGTTTTGTACTCTCAACGTGGATTTCTCAATATTATAAAAAAAAGCTCTAAAAGTAGTTAAAAAAAATTTACCAATTGATTTTCAGAGTGAAATGACTAAATTTTCTTAGCTGCTGAAGTGACAAAATTCAAAGGAGAACTTCATTAATGTCTTCAAGGAGTTTAAGATCAAATTATCTCCTCCTTGATATCTGAAGAGGTGTGAGCAGCTTGAGAAAGTTTGTATTGAGGATTAAGGCGACTCAATGCCTAAAGAATTATGTGGCAAATTATCCCTGAAAATTCTTGTCTACAAAACTCCCTTGTGCCTCGTTGGGGTGTGAAATCCCGCACGCCAGAGAAGCTTTCCACCATTGTTTCCAAGGCTCTCACCCCTCTCTCTCCCTGAGCCTAAGCCCTCTATTCTGCCTTATTATGTTCCTACCGGCGGAAAAGTTGATTTAGAATTTTGAGGTAGAAGCGGAATAAATAATAAAATTTCCGCAGCTTGAGCTTTTGCGATGGTGAAAGAATATATACAAAGGCGCTCGTCTTCAGCCACTTCTGAGGCTCACAACTCTTCCATCGGCACACACGCTCAGTTCCCACAATTTGTTGAGGGTGGCTGAGGAGCGCCCAGACTCCGCCATGTGTACATTTATGTTCACACAGAGAGATAGAGATAGATAATCGATTTATTGGTATTTTATGGAATTCTTGAGTATATAGAACGGGTGTGTTCGCACAATATGAGAGGATTTTCGATATACAGGCTCAGACTCTTCGTCCTCGTGGATGAAAAAAGGCCCCAGCGGAGGGAGAATGGCAATAGAGACAGGATGGAAATTGATGTTATTCCGAATTGAGCTCCGCTTCCGAGCTCATGTAGCAAATGACTCTTGATCCCTTTATTGATTCGATGTGGTCAAGTCAGTGGCGATTCCGACTTGATGATGATTTCTTTCACTTACGCGCCAATTGAGAACTCGTATGTATAATTAATTTGGGGGCTTTTGCCAGGCCTCCTCTGGGGAGGGCCGGCCGAGAAACCTCTGGGGCAGAGTCAAGCAAATAGCCTTCGATTTGCACTGGGATTGTTTGCTCATGAGACCCGGAGCGAAAGGTCGATTGAATCATTCTCCCCGGGAAAATCATCCAATATTCCCCACAATGTCTCGAGGATGTGCTCAGGAGAAAAATACACTCTGTGCCTCCTTAATTAATATCAAGTCCCGGTGTAATAATACCTCTGATTTAGAGAGAAAATGAGAGTGACTTCAAAAGGGCGTTTGCGGTAATTTCCTCCTGCGATGTGAAATCACTCAGGAAATTGATCTGCTTCTGGGGCAATTGAGAGACATTTGTCGCGATGGTGACCTAAAGATGTGCTGGCAAGATAGTGGCGGCTTTTTACCAACTCATCCAAGCGGCTAATCAGTCAGTCTTTCACCATGAGGCGCCCTTGGCTGAAGTGGCCCCAGAACGTCACGTCTGTCTATGAGAGTTGGAAGCCTTTGTTCTACCTCGCCGATTACTTCCTCTTTGTCACATTTCCCACATCTTCCACACACGAAATTCCCCCCTTCGCCATGTCCGCTTCGCAGCTAATGCGTTTCATACCTTGTGTTGCAATTCTCCTGTTCGTAATCGTCTCAAACACCTTGAACAGCATGTCACACTTTCATGTCCTATCGCCCAGCTATTCCCCAGTCGAGGCCATCGCCGGAAGGCTTGTTCTCACACTCGGGTGTTCAGCTTCCATATCGCTGTGGTTCATGTGCAAAATACTGCAGAGAAGATACGGAAATTTCGTCAAAAATCTCCATGCAATCGATACAAAGGTTAATCTTTTCGTAGGATACTCAAAAAATAATAAATCTAACATTTTTTCCAGATGATGAAATTGAACTACCCTTTAAATCCCAGGCGTGAATTTAAGGATCTCGTAATCTACATTTCTGTTCTCATCGCTATCTTTCACTCTGTAGTCCTGATTACTCATCCACTTCTTGAGTACCATAATTTCTGGATAATGATTCTCTATGCTTATAATATCTACATCGAGAACGGACCTCTGATGACCAACAATCACCTCTGCATCCTGTTTGTTAGAGGAGTCAAGGATAGATTCATTGCCATGAACAAATATATCCGGTAAAGTTGAATAGTTTAACAGCTTCCCAGCTTCAACTGTTGATATTTTTCAGAGAAAGTCTTTTAGAAGGCCACAAACTACTTTCCGATAGCGAATTGGAAGCAGCTTTTATCAACATTGCCAAGTTGCACAGCGATTTGATAGACCGAATCACAGACATTAACTTCTGCTTCGGTTTCCAAATGTTGATCACATTCAGTTCTCTCTATTTCTACGGAGTCTTCAGTTGCTTTGCTGTCTACCGAAATTTCAGTTACTTCGGAAATCCCTTCACAGTTTTCACGATCAACAACATCGTGTGGAGCAGCGTGCATTTGGGATCCATCACTTACTTCATCAATGTTGCCAGTAGTCTGATAAGCGAGGGTGAGAACACGGCAGTTCTTGTGCACAGAGTGGCGAACAGTCTCAAGACGCCCAATGAGGCTGTTCTGCTGAGACTCGAGATGCTTTCGCAGCAATTCCAGCACCGTTCCACCACAATTTCTTGTGGCTTCTTTCAATTCAACTGGATGCTGTGGTACTCAGTGAGTATATGGCATGAATAGGCGGCTTTTCTCCTCATTCCAAGGACCTTTCTTCCCTCTCGCTCTCGCCCTTTTGTGTAGTTTGTCGGCTCAACAGTGTCCATGGTTATCCTGCTCATACAATTCGACTCAGCAGCTGCCACTCAATCGAACATCAATATCACGCGAGCCGTCATGACACCCTGAGAATTAATCCTCTGTTTTAATATTTAACCAAATTGCCATTGAGTGCCCGGGACATCATTAGTGGGAATCACACTTAAGCTCCTCAAATTGTATTGTGTTGTGCGGCACCATTGTTTTCACCACACAAAGCTCATTCTCTCTTCTTTCGCGTCACTGTGCTGATTGATTTGTTTACTTGCGTGCCCGTGACGAGTCATGAGGAAGCCATATTTTAAGTGGCCTCGCGTCCACACCATTTACGAGAGCTTTCGGCCGGCATTTCTGCTGCTCAGCATCGGCCTGCCCATCACCTTTCCCACCTGCAGACACTCACGCAACCGCACGTCTCCTGTGCAGATGCTCAAGTTCACCGTCAATATCGCCATCCTCATCTTCATCTACATCAGCACCACCAACGGTGGCATCCAATTTACCCAACTTAACACAGACTCCGAGATAATGACGGCCGGCACAAGGCTGATGACGGTCTTCGGCATTTTCTACATCACCGGCATCAATATTATCTTTCGCCTGCTGCAGAATCGACTGTGGCTCTTCATTCAGCGCCTCGACGCGCTCGACAGACAAATCCATCAATTTGCCCAGGCGTTTGATTACCAAAAAGAATTCCGAGTCCTCCTAATGCTGGGACTTGTCTTCTTTGCCATTGTCATCCTGATGGTCATTGTCGTTGGCCTTGTATTCGACGCGGACTCCATTTTCATGCGCTGTCTCATGCCTTACTTCACATACCTAATGAATTCCAACGGAGTGGGACTCATCCTCCTCATGATGCTCTTCATCTTTGGCATTCGTGGGAGATTTACGTCCATAAATACCACTGTCGCAGACTTATTGAGCCAGAATAGGGAGAGCCGAGAACTTGAGGATTTGATTGTGCAACTGGCCAAATGCCACAGTGAATTAATTGATCTGACAAGAGACTTGAACAGCACGCTCGTTACCTATGTCACAGTGGATTTCATTGGTATTTTTGTCTTCAACGTCATAAATAGTTTGGCACTCTTTCGCTTCATTATGTACAGTGAGCGTGAGGGGTGGCTATTGAAGATGGCGAATGGTCTCTTGGGCACCTATCAAGGCGTGCTTTGCATCATATTCATCGCGCTTTCGCACTCTCTGCGAAGACAGGTGAAATCAAAGCTCTGCCAATTCAGCTGATTTCAAAGATCATTAACAGTCGATTTTTTGTAGTGCAAATTCACCGGAATCCACATACACAAAATTCTGAACAGCTCCACATCAATCCACGCAGATCTATCAAACAGGGTGAGTGACTTGGTGGAAGCATAACAAAGCCCAGTATAATTGAGCCTTTTGCAATTTCTCCACAAAGCTCCTGATGTTCTCGCAGCAAATCAAGCACCGCTTGGCAACCATACACTGTGGACTCTTCATCTACGACTGGCCACTGTGGCAATCTGTGAGTGATTGCGAATTTCCCACTCATAACCGAATTCACAATGACGGGTTCTTGCCAACTTGCAGATACTCTCGCAAACGGCCACGTACTTTGTAGTC